GGATACCTGCAAACAGGTCATACACCCGCGGATGAACAGCAACTATACATCGTCTGTCATCAGTTTAAAAGACTGATATACATGTTTTACGGGAAGAACAACAGCAACAACATCATGATAACACTCATACGGGGTGCAAGGCTCCGAGTTCTCGAAACTAAACCATCACCTCCGGGGGAGCCTCTCCTTGCGATTCCTCGAAACCGTTCTCCTCCCTCAGATGCTCTTCCAGCATCTGGTCGAACGACATGATCTCCTCCATTGGCTCACTGAGTATCATGTCGAGTCCACGTCAGAACCCCTTCCGGAGTACACCTAACCGCAACCTTCTTCGGAGCCACGACCAGCGCGAGCGCAATGGCAGCTTTACACGATAGTGTGGCACTCGACAAGGAACACGAGGCTATCACACCAGCCCTCACCTTAATCACTGTTATCTCCTCTCCTGGTACTATCGGGACGCGAACGCGGTGGTCTACGAATGAAGCCAAGGAAGATGGCGAAGACGACGAAAGATCTGACATCGCGCTGTGACCATGGTAGGTCCCCGAAGTACGCTATCGCCTGAAGCGTCAACTTACTCCAGTTATCTACCGTGCGGCCTCATTCACAGAGGCCTAAGGTTGAGAACCATTTCACTTTTATAGTCGGTCCTTCACAGCATCTCATACAGGTTCCTTCCATACACCGCCCCATAGGCTCCCTTTTAAAACCTCAGACAGACCCACGTATCAATTTCGTCCGGGCCCCTGATGTCATATCTGTGCATAGACTCTTTACCCTCCCCCCCTTTTTTTTAAAAAAACTCCCACCTCCCTATATGTATACAAAACAATAATAACACCCCCTTACTACGGATATTCCGTCAGTACCACCATCTCAAACCTGACAGACTCAACTACTCAATGGGCAACTCATTATTCTACTCATTCACTTAAAAAATTGTAAATATATATATATATATATATATATATATATGCGTTCATACACACACACTCTCCCTCCTTTATCCTTGACCAGCCGAATGTTCGTATATGCGTATGTGTGTGTGTGTGTGTGTGACCCGCCCCTATCCCACTGGATGGATCCAGATAGGGGGTTCAGGAGATGATCCTGAACCCCCGTTCAGGATCATATCCAGTCACCCGTTCTTTACCCATTCCAAGGGCAAACGAAGGGCACACATCCACACACATTTCTTGGACAAAACATGCTCGTTTTATGGATTCATTATTATTCTTACCTTCAGTATTTGCTTTGTATCCACATCGCAGCAGCGAAATGTCTGATACAATTCGGGATGGTCAAGGACCTTATACACAGCCTCGAGACAACGACGTTGCTGAAAACCATTCCTGACCATGATCTCAACAACCGACTTAATATCATATGCGGCCATTGCCGCAACAGATGTAAGTAGCATTCTCATTGCCGTTTGGGCTATCAATACATTACACGACTGCCTTTCTGGTCTATTCGAGCTTCGGTTCACAAACCTGACTGGAGAGAACGAGAGTCCTTGTGTTTTATCGTGCCTCGCTGTAGTGAATAACCCTGAGGCTTCTCATACAACCTCTATATCAAGGTGAAGAAACTTCGTCGTCGTTCCGAAGAACAGATCATTGGGTCCTGTCCGAAATTCCGTCGTTTGATTCTTAATCTCAATAATGTCCAGCGGGTCAGATATACGAGGCTGATCAGGGTCGAGGAATCGCAGGATGATTGGGTTGTTAATAATATGGACATCATCCATAAACCTAAAGAACTCTGGAATAATGTCGCGTAGTCCCTCGCACCTCTACACAAAAACCTCTGAATGAACTGAAATTCATATTTTAAAAAATACACATTACACCATATTGGAGAGCATGGTAACCCCATGGGGATTCCTTTCACTTGCCTCCATACCCGATTTCCAAATACCGTGTAACATCTCTTCAGGATCCATCTGCACATCTCAATAATGTCTGGTTCCATTAACAAGATACCTCCGGGTCTTTCAGCCCTACTCATGACCTTGGTGGGAGTACATTTGGTCAAGGTACCATTCCTTAAGCAAACTTTCACAGCGTTGTACCCCCCATGCGACCGCCAATGTTTGAAAGCTAAACCCGTGAAAAAACTAATGGCCAAAACAAACCCATCTTCAGATTGATCAGTAGGAATATTCTCAAAACACTTCACTATGTCTGCCGTAAAGACCCCATACACATGTTGTGGTAGATTATAGCAAAATTCTTGAACGATGTCAACCACCCACCAAAAGGTTGTATCTATCTTATGAAAATTCCTCGCAGCATCCCTCATTTCTCTGCAGTGCACCATCACCGGCACCATCAGGGTCTTAAGGACATTATCACATATTTGCGCTGGGGTTGTCAATAAGGTATCGGTTGCATTCGTTAGCCACCTGAATAATTTCTTATGCTGCTTATATATCGCCATTATGTATGGAAGCTTTTTTGACTGCAATTTGATCCAAGGAAATCTTTCATTTAATGAGGAGCAGGATTCTTCAATCACATCGTTAATCGTTAAGCCGGGGATCACAAAATCAGGGCCAGACAATCTATCTAACGCGAGACACCGAATCAGGTGCTTGCATACAAAGAACGGGGTGTTTGCCGCCTTATCAGTTCCCGCAACATAGATAGTTTTGGTTAGATACCCGACATCTGATTTTACCTGAAAGTCTTCAGTTCGCGTGTTACATCGAATCATACCTTTGTTCAGATCACTCACAATCCTTTTTCTCCATTTGATATATTAGGCCATTCGCGATATATACGTACCTTAGTAAGATTCCTACCGCACCCCGCCATCCATTCATCAATTCGTCGATTACCTGCCCTTTCGTGCGTTGTTTCAGAGGAATATGGTTTAGGCCTAATTTAAGGCACTGCTGCAACGTGGGATTCCTCGTAATCTCTGGGTTCATCGTGAGAACGTGTGTTGAAGGAACATCAGCAGGTTCAGTCATGTGGAGGGTTTCGTCCATGTGGTAGGGTCGATACTCGCTCGTGTCGCGTGGGCATCGCCCTGCAACGGTTAAGGAGGAATACCACCCGTCCAGATCAAACCATCTGAAGACAGACCCTGGTTTGTATACCGTTTTGCATATGCTATCGTCATACGTCCATCCGAACACGATTAGCGAAAAAATCGTTAGGACCGCAGGGATTCCTAATTTCAAAAGGACAGACTCAATAATCAATCGGAGATTGACTCTAGCCATCATTCTGCCCATGTATCGGATATGAACGAACTCTTTCCTCCGGTTACCGTTGTCTGCTCTCTTTTTCCATCTCCACCTCCCTGGAGGCCCCTCCTCGATAGACCCAAGGCATACCTGCACATCATACAACAATCCGTGGTTGAGTCCTCAACAATCTCTGAGAGTGGTCGACTGCAAGTTCCTCCTTGATTTACTGCCTGGATCCAATGGCAAGCCCACTCTCCTCCCGCCAACATTGGTGATCGTGGATTCCGGAGGTGTCCCGATTGCCTGGTCTTGTCGTAGAATGGGAGGGGGCAGTGTGGACTCTGCGGATACCACAAAGGAATCCATCGAACTTTGTCCTTCTCTCCTCTGCCTTTTGCCAGAGGAGGAGGACGGATTACCTGGGGTGGAGGTGTTGCACCTCTTTCTTACATACCTGGTGGGGAGGAGAGCCTTTGCGCACTCCTTGAATGCTTTCCTGTCCGACCTACCGACTCCTGTCAGGATAGACTCGGTTGTCAACGTTGGGTTGGCAATTACCCTCTTCGCGAGAAGCATCATGACTTCCCTGATGCATGAAAACGATACTGACGCTAGAATCAGTGGTTTCCACGAGCCCGCCAGGCATTGCATTAATGATGACACTTTGGCTTTCGAGGTGGGGGCATTTGGATACATTATATCCAGATTGTACAGAAGATACCACAAGAGGTGATCGAACCAGGCCGGGCCATTCCCACAGTCCTCTCTGCCATCCGCAGTGCATCTGCACTTAATATAAGGTCTACCGTAGTTCCATATGCGCTTCAGTTCCGAAAGCGCATTGGGATTCTGTGGTGGCTTAGAGGACCTAATCAAGACCTGCGGGTTGAGTGAGGGGCACTTCGAGGAGTTCATGACGTTCATAGGGGGAATATACACCCCCTCCCCATTGAAGGGGAACGCAACCCCTGGAGGTGCAACATCCATCTCCATAGCCCTCTCCAAACAGTCCTTCATTTTCTCCTGGGTCAGGGCCCCCAACAGTCTGTATGCTCTATTATCCAGGGGGGCTAGGTGATTATACGTTTCGAACATCCAGATCTTTCCCGCGAAAGCCGTCGACATCCCCTCAACCCACCTAGATGACGCATACGGGAGAAAAGCGTTCCTAGATTCTCCCGCTGCCTTTTTCTTCTTGACAGCTCTCTGCTTCTCCTTGACCCTGGCCGCCTCCTCCACCTTCCTCTCCACATACAGCCTCTCCTCCTCCGTCAGCTCATCCTCTTCATCCACCCCAGATGGTTCCTCAGACACAGTCACCTGCGTCCTGCCCAACGTTTTGTGAAATCGGGAATCAACACCCCACAGTCTGACAAAAACCACCTCAGCATCTATCGTGGTATTGAGGATTTCCCTATCCTCCTTCATACTATCCTCCCTTACTACGCTCGTGGCTCTCGCCATCCTCAAAATTGTGGCCCCAAATTCCGCCCTTCTCATCCAGTAAATATATATAAGCTTCGCTCACTCGTTGAATGATAGATACTCGATTAGGGGGTAACAGTCCTTCTCAGGGGTTTCTGACTTCTCCCTAACGACACTAATTACCTGTTTTTGTGCAAAAGCTATCAGTGCCTGTGTGGGACGGGGTGGTGGGCAAAAATGCGCAATCCAAGCTTTATCATCCCTGACCAAGTTCGGAATCCACAAGATCTGCGGAGACACAAAGTCCTGAAACAGCACGGAGCAAAACATAGTAAGCATCAACCAGGAATAACATATGCATACTATCATCTTTTAGGACCATTAGGCGTGATACTATTCTGCCATTATTGAGTCGCAACATACTCCACAGCAGTCGAGCGAATAGTCTGGTCAAGGGTATCAGCCCTGAGAAGATGTCCATTGGGAGTACTTCCCCCGCTGGGTGTGTGTGATGTTGTGTGTGTAAACACACTTAGATATAGCTCCAGTATACAACGACTGCACTCCACACCATCGCATGACTTACAGGAATTGCAACAAATGACAGTATCGAAACCTAGTGCCCTGACGACGATGATCCGAAGATTACTCCAAAGACACTCAAGGTTTAATACCCCAATGTTTCCCTCTTTTCTTCTCATATATATATACAAATAATATATATATATATATATACACATGAACGAGATGAGGACTGACAACAGCTCGACTGACACAAAATCACACACACACCATCATGCCACGCACTGCAAATAAAAGTGTACAGGTGCACAAGTCATATGAACACGAATGAACTTATTCACCATACCAGAGAGCATTCCCAATATAACACCCACTATTCCTGAGCGAAAATGCCTACTCATTGCTCTCATTGATCTCTACAATGGTCCTTCCTCCCTATTCATACACTCACCCTGCATATGACGCCCTTATTTATCATCAT